CCGCTGCTCCGGGCCGGATTCAACGACCTCATCGGCCCTTGCCATTTCCAGGACAAGAATCGTTTGTACTCTTCCACAACACAACAAAACGTATGGTAAACCTCTACTGGTGCGTTCACGGCAATAGAACATTTCATCTGAGCTTAGCACCTGGCGCTAATAGTAAAACCAACACATTTACTAAACATTTCTGGATATTTTGTGATAAAGACACTAATGAATTGTTGTGTGTAAGTATAGAGTAGTTCCGCCGCTGATTTCTATGGCATGTACTCATTTTCGTTTTGTTTACGATTAGGTGAGTCATCGGAAAGTATTTTGGCCACAGTCATATCAAATGCCTGACCCACATAATCCTACGCGTATGATACCATGTCGAAAAGAGATTAAAATACACTTTCCATTACGTTCGCTGCGTGAGAATTGCCTCTGGCGCGTTGTAACAACACTACATTCAGTACCTCCTAGAGTGGCGATGCGCATCATTGACGAACGTATGTTCATACCCAATGTTTTGAAAAACGAACTGAAGAAGCGTTTAAGACGCAAAGTGCAACCCGAAATGATTACAGCGGAAATAGTTAAAAGTGTAATTGAACAACATAATCAGCAAAGTAATTAAAAAACGTAAAATGTAGATGTTTAGCGATTAGCAGAAAAATTTGTAACGTTTTATATTTAATTTAAGTACTTGTAAATTTTTTTTTAATTTGTCAAATTAAAATATAAGTACACTATGAGGAATAAAGAGTGTAAAAAACAAACTTACTTTTCATATAATGCTGCTTCAAAATGCTGGAAAGGTCTTTCGTTAAAATTTCCGTATCGTTTGCAAAATTTGCTAATAAAAATTAAAATGTTAATACTTTCAGGAGGAATCGTTACCAGGAACGCTGTTAAAATATTTCAAAATCCGGTAAAATTCCATTGATTCCCAATACGTGTCCAGTATATTCAAATTCATCTACAAATAAATAGGTCCATGCGTGCATTCATATAATAAACACCCATACT